GGCATAATGAGTGCAGCACTTTCACAGCATCATCTTTGAGGATTTGAAATAGCTCAGCTGGAATTCCATCACCTCCACTAGCTTTGCTTGTAGTGATGTTTTCTAAGGCCCACCTGACTTCACATTCCAGGATGTCTGGCTCTAGGTGAGTGATCGCACCATCGTGATTATCTGGGCCATGAAGATCTTTGATGTACAGTTCTGTGTATTCTTGCCACCTCTTCTTAATCTCTTCTGCTTCTGTTAAGTCCATACCATTTGTCCTTTATGGAGCCCACCAGAGTTTGGCCCCAGGTAAATAGCAGGGAGAGAACACAGTTCCACCCATCAATAGAAAATTGGATTAATGAATTACTGAGTATGGCCCCACCCATCAGAAAAAGACCCAGTTTTCCCTCAGTCAGTCTATCCCATCAGGAAGCTTCCACAAGCCCCTTATTCTTTTCCATGAGAGGGCAGGCAGACTGAAAACCAGAATCACAGAGAACTAACCAATCTAATCTCATGGACCACAGCCTTGTCTAACTCAATGAAACTATGAGCCTTGCCTTGTAAGGCCACCCAAAATGGATGGGTTATGGTGGAGAGTTCTGACAAAATGTGGTCTACTCGAGAAAGGGAATGAAAGGAGCAAGATCTGATGCTGTAAAGAGCAATATTGCATGGGAACCTGGAATGTTAGGTCCATGAATCAAGGCAAATTGGAAGTGGTCAAACAGGAGATGGCAAGACTGAACATCAAAATTTTAGGAATCAGTAAACTAAAATGGACTGCAATGGAAGAATTTAACTCAGATGACCACTATATCTACTATTGTGAAAAAGCATCCCTTAGAAGAAATGGGGTAGCCATCATACTCAACAAAAGAGTCTGAAATGCAATACTAGGATGCAATCTCAAAAATGACAAAATGATCTCTGTTCGTTTCCAAGGCAAACCATTCAATAGCACGGTAATCCAAGCCTATGCCCTGAACAGTAATTCTGAAGATGCTGATGTTGAATGATCCTATAAAGACCTACAAGACCTTCTTGAACTAACACCCTAAAAAGATGTTCTTTTAATTAAAGGGGACTGGGATGCAGAAGTAGAATGTCAAGAAAGACCTGGCGTAACAGGCAACTATGGCCTTGGAGTACAGAATGAAGCAGGGCAAAGGCTAATAGAGTTTTGCCAAGAGAACACACTGGTCATAGCAAACACCCTCTTCCAACAACACAAGAGAAGTCTCTACACATGGACATCACCAGATGGTCAACACCTAAATCAGATTGATTATATTCTTTGCAGCCAAAGATGGAGAAGTTCTATACAGTCAGCAAAAACAAGACCAGGAGATGACTGTAGCTCAGATTATGAACTCCTTATTGCCAAATTTAGACAAAAAATGAAGAAACTGGGGAAAACCACTAGACAATCAGGAATGACTTACATCAAATCCCTAACTATAATATAGTGCAAGTGAGAAATAGATTTATGGGACTAGATCTGATAGACAGAGTGCTTGATGAACTATGGACGGAAGTTCATGCCATTGTACAGGAGACAGGAATCCAGACCATCCCCAAGAAAAAGAAGTGTGAAAAAGCAAAATGGCTATCTGAGGAGGCCTTACAAATAGCTGTGAGAAGAAGCAAAGGAATAAAGTAAAGATATACCCATTTGAATGCAGAGTCCCAAAGAATACCAAGGAGAGAAAAGAAAGCCTTCCTCAGTGACCAATGCAAAGAAATAGAGGAAAACAATAGAAAGGAAAAGACTAGAGATCTCTTCAAGAAAATTAGAGATACCAAGGGAACATTTCATGTAAACATGGACTCAATAAAGGACAAATGGTATGGAACTAACAGAAGCAGAAGATATTAAGAAGAGGTGGCAAGAATACACAGAAGAACTGTACAAAAAAGATCTTAATGACCCAGAATATCACAATGATACGATCAATCACCTAGAACCAGACATTCTGGAATGCAAAGTCAAGTGGGCCTTAGGAAGCTACACTGTGAAGAAAGCTAGTGGAGGTGATGGAATTCCAGTTGAGTTCTTACAAATCTTAAAAGATGATGCTGTGAAAGTGCTGCACTCAATATGCCAGCAAATTTGAAAAACTCAGCAGTGGCCATGGGACTGGAAAATGTCAATTTTCATTCCAATCCCAAAGAAAGGTAATGCCAAAAACTGCTCAAATTACCACACTATTGAACTCATCTCTCATGCTAGCAGAGTAATGCTCAAAATTCTCCAAGCCAAGCTTCAGCAATATGTGAACTGTGAACTGCCAGATGTTCAAGCTAGATTTAGAAAAAGCAGATGAACCAGAGATCAAATTGCCAACATCCGCTGTATTATCCAAAAAAAGCAAGAGACTTCCAGAGAAACATCTATTTCTCCTTTATTGACTATGCCAAAGCCTTTGACTCTGTGGATCACAACAAACTGTGGAAATTTCTGAGAGAGATGGGAATACCAGACCACCTGACCTGCCTCTTGAGAAACCTATATGCATGTCAGGAAGCAACAGTTAGAACTGGACATGGAACAGCAGACTGGTTCCAAATAGGAAAAGGAGTATGTCAAGGCTGTATATTTTCACCCTGCTTATTTAACTTATATGTAGAGTACATCATGAAAAATGCTGGGCTGGATGAAGCATATGCTGGAATCAAGATTGGTGGGAGAAACATCAACAACCTTAGATATGCAGATGATACTACCTTTATGGCAGCAAGCAAAGAATGAAAGAGCCTCTTGATGAAAGTGAAAAAAGAGAGTGAAGACGTTGGCTTAAGGCTCAACATTCAGGATACTAAGATCATGGCATCCAGTCCCACCACTCCATGGGAAATAGATGGGGAAACAGTGGAAACAGCTAGTGAGTTTATTTTTGGGGTCTCCAAAATCATTGTAGATGTTGACTGCAGCCATGAAATTTAAAGTGGCTCTTGGAAGAAAAGCTATAGACAGCATATTAAAAAGCAGATACATTACTTTACCTACAAATGTCTCTCTAGTTAAAGCTATGATTTTTCCAATAGTCCTGTATGGATGTGAGAGTTGAACCAGAAAGAAAGCTGAGCACCAAAGAACTGATGCTTTTGAACTATGGTGTTGGAGAAGACTCTTGAGAGTCCCTTGGACTGCAAGGAGATCCAACCAGTCCATCCTAAAGGAGATCAGTCCTGGGTGTTCATTGGAAGGAGTGATGCTAAAGATGAAACTCCAATATGTTGGCCACCTTATCTGAAGAACCAACTCATTGTAAAAGACCCTGATGCTGTGAAAGATTGAACGTGGGAGGAGAAGGGGACAAAAGAGGATAAGATGGTTTGATGGCATCACTGATGCAATGGACATGAGTTTGAGCAAGCTCCAGGATTTGGTGATGGACTGGGAAGCCTGGCATGCTGCATTCCATGCAGTTGCTAAAAACTGGACACAACTGAGTGATTGAACTGAACTACACTGAGTCATATTAAATTTCCAATTGGTTGACTGATTAATACTAGGCAGCTTTGGTGAAGAAGTTTTAACCTAAAGGAAATTTGCAGACAAGAGTCATCAGAGAGAAGCAGGAATCCCCACAAGTTGGTGGAATCTTGTGTTCCCATCAGTCCAGACCGCACAGTTGTCCACACACATCCCTCCTGCAGGAGAATGGGGAATAAGGAGAACTCATGTGTCCTTCAAATCCACTATTTAATCTCACATAATTCTTACAGACTATGTAAAGGCCTTCCAACCACTGTCTGAGACTTGTATTTATTTTATATTCCCCCTCAGTAGGCAATTTTGTCTTAGTGTGATCTTTAAACTTTCTGAACTAAGACAGCTTCAGAGAATGACACTTATCTAAGCTAAACTGTGGCTTCTATTTTTCTGTTGAGGCAAAATGGAAATAAAAACAGTCTTCCACATGAATATGGTAAAGAGAAAGGATGTAATGCATAGGTACAATGGAATATTCCTCAACCATATAAAAGAACAAAATAATACTATTTGCAGCAATGTGGATGGGCCTAGAGATGATCATACTAAGTACCTTAATATTGAATGTTAGTTGCTCAGTTGTACCCGGTTCTTTGCAACCCATGTACTGGAAACTACCGGGCTCCTCTGACCATAAGATTTTCCAGGCAAGAATACTGGAATGGGTTGCCATTTCCTTCTCCAGGGGATCTTCCTGACCCAGTGATTAAATCCAGGTCACCCACATTGCAGACAGATTCTTTACCATCTGAGCCACCAGGAAGCCCATACTAAGTAATGCAAGTCAGAGAGAGAAGGATAAATACCATATGATATCATTTATGTGCGGATTCTAAAATACAACACAAATGAATTTATCTGCAAAACACAGTCTCACAGACATAGGCGACGTGCTTGTGATTGCTAAGGGGAGGGGAAGAGACGGATTGGGAGTTTGGGATTCACAGAGAGATAAAAACTATTGCATACAGGATGGATAGACAAAAAGGACCTTCTGTAGACCCCAGGGAACTGTATTCAATGTCCTGGGATAAACCATAATGGAAAACAATATGCAGAAGAATATGTGACTCATTGGAAAAGACCCTGATGCTGGGAAAGATTGAGGGCAGGAGGAGAAGGGGATGACAGAGGATGAGATGGTTAGACGGCATCACTGACTCAATGGACATGGGTTTGGGTGGACTCCAGGAGTTTGTGATGGACAGGGAGACCTGGTGTGCTGCGGTTCATGGGGTTGCAAAGAGTTGGACCTGACAGAGCAACTGAACTGAATTGATATGTGTATATACACACATATATATACATGTGTGTGAACAACTTTGCTGTAGATCAGAAAGTAAAACAATATGGCTAACCAACTGTAACCCAACATAAAATAAAAAATTGATTCCTGAAGCCCCCAAAGACAAAACTTGTGGAATCAGAGGTGCTTACTCCAATCACAGGGTCTGTAAACCATCTTAATTTGAACCATCCCCATAAACATGCATTCTGAAATTATTACTCCTAGATTATGTCCAGTACATAAAAGATTCCACCATATGTCCATCCTGGGGAAAATTCCATAGGGGCTCCAACATCACAGAGATGTGGAGGACTGAGGTCCACCCAGATTCTGACATTGGATCACCTACCTGCTTCTGTGCCCTGGACAGTCTACTGCCTGACGGTCACCCCATCAGCCGTCACACAGTCGACTCTACTAAACCTTTGGTTCTGTTTTACTCACCTACAGAAAGAGTCCCTGAGACCAGACATGTCCTCGTCTCCATGGAATCAAGATCAACAACACGAAGATGACTTTCCTGGTTCCTGACTAACACAATCCTTCTCACATTCACACTCCCTCTCCCATCTAATATCTCCTGGTTACTAATACCATCCTATCTGGTGGTATTTGATTTTTGAGGGTTTAAATAAATTGATTTAATATCATCCCTGTACATGTGTGTCTGCACAAAAGTCACTTGATTTAAAAAACACATATATATGCATTAAACTTAACTACCCAGAAACATATGCCTTTAATAGCATAGATGGGCTTCCCTGATAGCTCTGTTGGTACAGATTCTGCCTGCTGTGCAGGAGATGTGGGCTCAATCCCTGGGTTGGGAAGTTCCCCTGGAGAAGGGAATGGCGACCCAGTCAAGTATTCTTGCATGGAGAATTCCATGGACAGAGGACTGCGGTGGGATACAGTCCATGGGACTGCAAAGAGTCAGGCACGACTGAGCAACTAACACTTTCAGTTTCAGGAGAAATATTCATCAGAGACATTCATCAGGAGGATTAACTAGAAATGTCCTAGAGGTGTCCATGGGAGGAGAAAAAGAACTAATCCATCATTGGACAGGGACAGGATCATGGATGCTCTTTCTCTAGTGCGAGGAGGCAGTCTGCTCAAGAAAGATGTCCCCAGAAACCATCTTACTCATTACAGGGAAAGAAGCTCGTGTTTGGATTTACTACGATGTACGAACAGAGAGTGGCAGAGGACATTTATCATAATTGAGGGGAAATGCCTCTTCTGACAGCACCAACATTTCTGCAATTGAGCTGAAGGACTCATACTTCTTAACGACTGCAACAGAAGGAATCAAAGATGGGGCAGCAGCTGACACTTGGGAGCAAAATGAGGCAGCTGTAACTGATCCACAGTCACAGGATCTAAAGATGCTCTTCCAGCCACTTATGATTCAAAGAGCCGCAGACACTAGCATTTCCAAGGACTGAATGTTCCCATGGCAATGGGCAGAGCACACTGACTGAGGTATTTAGAATCCAAAAGACCTATCCAGCGCTCAAGATGTAGAACTTATGGGGCTTCCCTGGTGGTCCAGGAGTAAAGAATCCACCTGCTTTGCAGGGAACACAGGTTCCATCCCTGATCCCGGAAGACCCCACACGCTGCAGTAAAGCAAACTCATGCGTGATAACCAGAGAAACCCATGAGCCCAGAGTCCGTGCTCCCCAAGTAGAGAAGCCACCACAAAGAGAAGCCTGAATACCGCAACTGGAGAGTAGCCCCTGCTCGCTGCAACTACAGAAAGCCAGTGCAGCAACTAAGATTCAGAGCAGTCAAAAATAACAAGTAACTATTTTTTTCTCAAAGACATAAAGATATAGAACTTGTTTAAAAGTTTGGACAAAAGTTTAAAGATCTGCTCCAAGTCCTGGGGAAATAATACTAGACCTAGTGATATGTAACAGAATAAATGTTTTACTTCTTGCATAGACAGTTCAGTTCAGTTGCTCAGTCATATCCAACTCTTTGTGACACCATGAATCGCAGCACACCAGGCCTCCCTGTCCATCACCAATTCCCAGAGTTTACTCAAACTCATGCCCTTCGAGTCAGTGATGCCATCCAACCATCTCATCCTCTGTCATCCCCTTCTCCTCCTGCCCCCAATCCCTCCCAGCATCAGGGTCTTTTCCAATGAGTCAACTCTTCACATGAGGTGGCCAAAGTATTGGAGTTTTAGCTTCAACATCAGTCCTTCCAATGAATATTCAGGACTCATCTCCTTTAGGATGGACTGGCTGGATCTCCTTGCAGTCCAAGGGACTCTCAAGAGTCTTCTCCAACACCACAGTTCAAAAGCATCAATTCATTGGCACTCAGCTTTCCTCACAGTCCAACTCTCACATCCATACATTACCACTGGAAAAACCATAACCTTGACCAGACGGACCTTTGTTGACAAAGTAATGTCTCTGCTTTTTAATATGCTATCTAAGTTAGTCATAACTTTCCTTCCAAGGAGGAAGTGTCTTTTCATTTCATGGCTGCAGTTACCATCTGCAGTGATTTTGGAGCCCAAAAAAATAAAGTCTGACACTGTTTACACTGTCTCCCCATCTATTTCCCATGAAGTGATAGGACCAAATGCAATGATCTTAGTTTTCTGAATGTGGAGCTTTAAGCCAACTTCTTCACTTTCCTCTTTCACTTTCTTTTCTTTTTTTTTTTCCATTTATTTTTATTAGTTTGAGGCTAATTACTTTACATCATTGCAGTTGTTTTTGTCATAGATTGAAATGAATTAGCCATGGATTTACATGTATTCCCCATCCCAGTCCCCCCTCCCACCTCCCTCTCCACCCGATCCCTCTGGGTCTTCCCAGTGCACCAGGCCCGAGCACTTGTCTCATGCACCCAACCTGGGCTGGTGATCTCTTTCACCCTAGATAACATACATGTTTCGATGCTGTTCTCTTGAAACATCCCACCCTCACATTCTCCCAGAGTCCACAAGTCTGTTCTATACATCTGAGTCTCTTTTTCTGTTTGCATATAGGGTTATCGTTACCATCTTTCTAAATTCCATATATGTGTGTTAGTATACTGTAATGGTCTTTATCTTTCTGGCTTACTTCGCTCTGTAAAATGGGCTCCAGTTTCATCCATCTCAATAGAACTGATGCAAATGAATTCTTTTTAATGGCTGAATAATATTCCATGGTATATGTGTACCACAGCTTCCTCATCGATTCGTCTCCTGATGGGCATCTAGGTTGCTTCCATGTCCTGGCTATTATAAATAGTGCTGCAATGAAAATTGGGGTCCACGTGTCTCTTTCAGATCTGGGTTCCTCGGTGTGTATGCCTAGGAGTGGGATTGCTAGGTCATATGGCAGTTCTATTTCCAGCTTTTTAAGAAATCTCCACACTGTTTTCCATAGTGGCTGTACTAATTTGCATTACCACCAACAGTGTAAGAGGGTTCCCTTTTATCCACACCCTCTCCAGCATTTATTGCTTGTAGACTTTTGGATAGCGGCCATCCTGACTGGCGTGTAATGGTACCTCATTGTGGTTTTCATTTGCATTTCTCTGATAATGAGTCATGTTGAGCATCTTTTCATGTGTTTTTGTGCCATCTGTATGTCTTCCTTGGAGAAATGTCTGTTTAGTTCTTTGGCCCATTTTTTGATTGGGTCATTTATTTTTCTGGAGTTCAACTGGAGGAGTTGCTTGTATATTTTTGAGATTAATCCTTTGTTTGTTGCTTCGTTTGCTATTATTTTCTCCCAATCTGAGGGCTGTCCTTTCACCTTGCTTATAGTTTCCTTTGTTGTGCAAAAGCTTTTAAGTTTCATTAGGTCCCATTTGTTTATTTTTGCTTTTATTTCTAAAATTCTGGGATGTGGGTCATAGAGGATCCTGCTGTGATTTATGTCGGAGAGTGTTTTGCCTATGTTCTCCTCTAGGAGTTTTATAGTTTCTGGTCTTACATTTAGATCTTTAATCCATTTTGAGTTTATTTTTGTGTATGGTGTTAGAAAGTGTTCTAGTTTCATTCTTTTACAGGTGGTTGACCAGTTTTCCCAGCACCACTTGTTAAAGAGGTTGTCTTTTTTCCATTGTATATCCTTGCCTCCTTTGTCGAAGATAAGGTGACCATAGGTTCGTGGATTTATCTCTGGGCTTTCTATTCTGTTCCACTGATCTATATTTCTGTCTTTGTGCCAGTACCATACTGTCTTGATGACTGTGGCTTTGTAGTATAGTCTGAAGTCAGGCAGGTTGATTCCTCCAATTCCATTCTTCTTTCTCAAGGTTACTTTGGCTATTCGAGGTTTTTTGTATTTCCATACAAATTGTGAAATTATTTGTTCTAGTTCTGTGAAAAATACCGTTGGTAGTTTGATAAGGATTGCATTGAATCTGTAGATTGCTTTGGGTAGTAGAGCCATTTTGACAATATTGATTCTTCCAATCCATGAACACAGTATATTTCTCCATCTGTTTGTGTCCTCTTTGATTTCTTTCATCAGTGTTTTATAGTTTTCTATGTATAGGTCTTTTGTTTCTTTAGGTAGATATACTCCTAAGTATTTTATTCTTTTTGTTGCAATGGTGAATGGTATTGTTTCCTTAATTTCTCTTTCTGTTTTCTCATTGTTAGTATATAGGAATGCAAGAGATTTCTGTGTGTTAATTTTATATCCTGCAACTTTACTGTATTCGTTGATTAGCTCTAGTAATTTTCTGGTAGAGTCTTTAGGGTTTTCTATGTAGAGGATCATGTCATCTGCAAACAGAGAGTTTCACTTCTTCTTTTCCTATCTGGATTCCTTTTACTTCTTTTTCTGCCCTGATCGCTGTGGCCAACACTTCCAAACCTATGTTGAATAGTAGTGGTGAGAGTGCGCACCCTTGTCTTGTTCCTGATTTCAGGGCAAATGCTTTCAATTTTTCACCATTGAGGGTGATGCTTGCTGTGGGTTTGTCATATATAGCTTTTATTATGTTGAGGTATGTTCCTTCTATTCCTGCTTTCTGGAGAGTTTTAATCATAAATGGATGTTGAATTTTGTCAGACTTTTTCTGCATCTATTGAGATAATCATATGGTTTTTATCTTTCAATTTGTTAATGTGGTGTATTACATTGACTGATTTGTGGATATTAAAGAATCCTTGCATTCCTGGGATAAAGCCCACTTGGTCATGGTATATGATTTTTTAAATATGTTGTTGGATTCTGTTTGATAGAATTTTGTTAAGGATTTTTGCATCTATGTTCATCAGTGATATTGGCCTGTAGTTTTCTTTTTTTGGCATCTTTGTCTGGTTTTGGAATTAGGGTGATGGTGGCCTCATAGAATGAGTTTGGAAGTTTACCTTCTTCTGCAATTTTCTGGAAGAGTTTGAGTAAGATAGGTGTTAGCTCTTCTCTAAACTTTTGGTAGAATTCAGCTGTGAAGCCATCTGGTCCTGGGCTTTTGTTTGCTGGAAGATTTCCGATTACAGTTTCGAGTTCCTTGCTTGTGATGGGTTTGTTAAGATCTTCTA